CATACCACCACCAGCACCAGCACCAGCACCAGCACAACTACCTTCATTTAGTGTGATCTTTTCAAAGTTCTTCCAAGTTGAAGCGTGTATCAGGACTTTGTATCTCTTACTCTCTTCCTTCTCAACCATCACAACTTCTTTCTCTGAGATTCCGATGCCATCCTTCACTTGCTGCCCCAAGGTCCAGGTCCCGTTAAGTAGGACTCAGATACGAGTCTCTGAAGCGAGCTCAAGAATTAGAGCAGATGTGCTCCAATTTCCACACTGACCTCCATATGTCCTTTTCTTCTTATAACCTTTTACTTTGACCAAACTGCATTGAGGGAAATGCTGTCTTGCCAGACATGCAGGGATGCCTGGATATTAGTGACAGCAGTTTAGGCATAAGGGTAGAACAAGCTGTTAACAACCCTACCAACAAAAAGTTTAGACATATGAATCCACCCAGAGGCTGCTTGAAAGAAAGGCCTGGCACTCTGCTTCTAAAAGGTCATGGGCTTGAAAACTCTCAGGAGTCCAGTTCTGCTCTGCATATATGCATTGCTGTGGGTCCAGATTGACTTAGTAACTAGAAAGAAACAATACACCAGCTGCATGAGATGCTCAGAGTTTGATAGTTTTTGAGAACTAAAAGTTAAATGGCAAATTTGTCATTTTATAGCTTGGACGTGTTTTCAGAGCCATTAGTGTAAAGTAATGTGAATAGAATTACATTTTGCCCCTGATCAAGCATTTGCAGTGGATCAGTTATTAATGATAACACAGGTTTGCCTCAGCTGGATCAGCAGGAGGTAGGGAAATAATTTTGTGTTTACAGGCCTCAAGACATTCTCTGAAAGTGCTTTTTATCTTTCCCCACCAAATCCTTAATCATAGGCGGACTTCCCCCCACTTATTCCAAATAAGATTTTTGAGTTTTTGGTGAAAGTTTACACAGTTAGTTAGGTTCCCGTTTAACGGTCTTCTGTACAAATTGTTCCGTGATGTTAGATGCGTCCAACACACAATGTCCACAGTCTCTTCAACTGAAGTCTGTTCTGTCCTCTTCCTGGTGCTCTGTGTCCCCTGCGCACTTAGTCTTTCATCTCTTCTTTTTGCTTATAGACAGACATCCTTACATTGGGCTTCACTTTGTTATATTTTTGCTATTTTTTTTTAAAAAAAAAAAAAAGAAATTGAAGGTTTGTGGCAACCCTGCATCAAACAAGTTTTGTTGATGCCACTTGTTAAGCAGCGTGGTCTCACTTTATGCCTTGGCATCACATTTGGGAAATTCTCACAATATTTGAAACTTTATCCATAGTGCTGTTTCACACTTAATAAACTTAAGGTAGAGTGTTAAGTGTGACTTTTATATGTACTGGAAACAAAGATGCTGTATGATTGGCTTTATTGATGTGCTTGTCAGCACTGTGATGTGCTTGGAATTGTTGACCTTGTGGCCTCATACAGATGATTTTTAAATGGAGTGTCAATCTGACCAATAATATCTTTTCATTTATGTGCCACTCTGCTGCTTCACTGGAGGCTGGACTCAGGCCATATCTGGGTTTAAAGAGTGGCTCAGGGAGTCCTCTGTTCTCTGACATTCCAGTATGTCTGGTTTCATGTTTTGCCTTTTTCTTTTATTTTTTAAAATAATTTGAGTTTTCCACATTTTACACCCGTTTGAGACTCTGGTGACTCAACAGACCATAACAATATGCATGTGATGCACATAGATTGCATAGAAAACTAATGCATAAGAAGATTGTATGGGTTTTGAGAAAGTATAATGTATATACTGTTGTTGTTGATGTTGTTGGTGTGTGCCATCGAATCAGAACCAACCCATAGCTGACCCTCCAGTGGGTTTTCAGAGGCAGTTAATCGCATGAAAGGAGATTGCCCATCCTTCTCCCATGGAGCAGCTGGTGGATTTGAACCAAGTGCCTTTGGGATTGCAGTGTAGCTTCTTGCTGCCAGTGCCACATTCTAGTTATATAATAATAGGGCAGCTTTCTGGTTTCAGGGTTTATGAGATGGTGGTTCTTGTATATTTGCTTCTTCTCTGAATGTTTGGCTGCCATCTTCCTCTCTTGCTTCTGGAGAGTAGAGACTAGTAGTTATATTATCTGAGATGATCACTTGCAGGCTCTTTTGTTTTTTAATATTGGTTTGCATACAAAATTCATATTCATTGTGTTTCACACTTTCTTTCATTCACATTGTGTTTCATACAATCATTCCCATATATTGTGTTTTATACACTTTCTTTCATTCACATTGTGTTTCATACAATCATTCCCATATATTGTGTTTTATTGAGTTAATCACCAGTGATCTATGCACTTCTAAGCTTTTAATACCTTGGACACTACTCATTATGCTATGATGCAAACCTTAATGCCATGGAACAGCTCAGTTAATTGGTATAACCTAGTTCTCACACACACATAGCTTATTTTCTTGACCTGACTATCTTTCTGAAGCTGGTATAGAACCCCCCCCTTTTTTTAAATTTTATATTGGTTTGCTCACAAAGTTCATATAATGTGTGTTTCACACTATTCTGCATTCACATTGTGTTTCATACAACATCCCCATGGATTATGTTTTCTAATATCAATCACCTTTGGACCTTGCCCAGCATTACCCAATCTTTTCAGGTCCCCGCTCGATCCTTCCCATTTCCTTCACCCCCTCCCTCCACACGCCATACTTTGCAACCCTATGGTTTTGCCCCT